TGAGATTGGTGGGAACGAGGGGGAAGTCTCGTGGCCCTGAGCCCTTAGCCCCGTGGGATCTGATGTTAACTACAGGTAGATAGTGTCAGAATCAGTTGTTGGACACCTGGCTGATGTTGGAGAATTAGCTGATGTGGAAAAAAAACCAAACAAACAAACTGCCATTTGGTGTCAGAAACTTTGTGAGTAGAGTGTAAAGAAAACAGAATTTTTAGTGGGGCAAGAAAATTCCAGACAGAGGAACTGGAAGGAGTAAAAAGCATGAATGAGTAGGCTTGGGGCCTGTGTGAGGACCAGGGGAATTTCCGGGGCTGTCTAGGGTCCATGGGATGAGGGAGTCACAGAAGAGCCTGGATGGAAGGCTGTTGGAGGCTGACGACCTTGCATTTTTATCTCAAGCTATTGGCCAGTTGTTAGCAAAAGATTGGCAGCATCGGATCTATGTTTTGACAAAATCCCCTTGGCTGAAACATGGAGAATGAACGGGAATGGGGTCAATTAAGTCAGGGGTTGGCAAACTACGGCTGGTTGGCCTGGTTTTGTACCCATTGTAAGTTAAGAATGAGTTTTGCATTTTTAAATGGCCAGAAAAAAAAATCAAAGGAAGAATAAGGTTTTGTGACACATGAATATTATATACAATTCAAAGCTCAGTGGAATTTAAATAAATTTTATTGGAACACGGCCATGTTCGTTCACTTAGGTATTGTTTATGGCTGCTTTTTCCTACAATGGCACAACTGAATAGTTGTGACAGCGACTATAATATGTAAGTAACTGCATAATATCCTTAATTTTGCCTCTTGGTCCACAGAACCTAAAATATTTGCTATCTGGCCCTTTATAGAAAAGGTTTGTTAACCCCTGAATTAAGGGGTAGTTCAAGCATTTCAGGCACTCTTGCATTAGGGTGGTGATGGGCAGACAGGGAGGGCTGGACGAATTTAGGAAATGTTCAGGAGGTGGACTGACCAACTGGTACAGGGAGTTGAGAAGGAAAAGGAGTCCAAGATGATGCAGAGATTTCTGAATTGAGTGCTGCGTGGATGGTGGTGCTAGCCAGGCCAGGAACACCGGGAGGAGGAGTAGAACTGGGGGGCGTACGGGGACCTGTAGGACCTGCGGGGGAGAGTGACGGTAGTTTTCAGGCTTTTGTTGTGTGATAGTCTGATTCCTGGAGTTACGCAGTTTGTGTGTGTTAAAGATGCAAAGAACAAAGACATCACCTCAAAGTCTTTGGAGCTTGCGGCTGGTGTGGGATACCTGCCATTCCAAAGGCTTTTGTGCTGTAAAGGGTAGGAGGTACCTGTCTAAATGTCCAGTTGGATCAGTGTCTGTTCTGTACAATCAGAGCCTGGCTCCAAGAAATGAAACTGATGATTCCAAAAGCCTGGGGGAGGCACTGGGAGAACATGGGGGGGCTGTCCCTCCATGCCAAGCACCACCCCCCATCTATCTCTTACTTGTCTGGTGAAGCTGGCATACAGGAGAGAGGTCAGGCTTGCCCCAGCAGGTTTAGCCTAGTAGCCAAGTGAACTGGTCCTTCCGGGGCCTCGGGTTCCTGCCGAGATGTGGAGCAGGTGCTGAGGTGGCCAACGATCTACTCTATCTTTTGCCTTGGGGTCCTGGTCTCTGGGAAGAACCCCTGGCAGGTTTTAAGCGCCGATTCTCCGCAGGACAATTCCCTCGGTTGCCCGCAGATGGCGCTCAAGTGACACGGTGAGAACTGCGGGGTGGCGTGGAGGGGGCAGCCCGGACGACAAAGTCCTACCCGGTGCCCCTTCTCTAGGCCTGCTCCAACTTGGTAGGGGCAGGAGGTGGCATTCACAAAGCCACCTCATTCTTTCCTCACTTCCTGTTCACGTTGGAAACAGCCCTTGTTCCTAGGGCCAAGGAGGACACCTTCAGGGCAGGGTGTGTGTGTGGGGGGGATGGTTTGGGATGTTTGGGGTGGACTGATGCCATATCCAGCCACCTTCTCCTCTCAGCCTCAAGCCATTTCCTCCATCTTCTGGCAGCTGGCTTTGAAGGACTCCTGCTACAGAGGCTTGCAGGACCCAGGCCCCATGTTTGGGATGCTGCCTTCGTGGACTGCAAGTTGTCCCCCACCCAGGCTTGCCCCCTGACACTCCTTTCTGCAAGACCCGCTTCTCCCCCCACAACACCCCTTCCCAGGCGGGGGTGGGGGATGGGCCTCTGGACTCCATAAAGCCTCTGCTGGAGGTGTAGGGAAATGTGTGTGTCCAGAATAGCTTTGAACTCTGGTAACACTGGTCACTGCTCGCAGAGCCTGGGAGGGGCTTTCTTCCTCATCTCTCCAGCCCTCTTCCCTCTTCTGCCAGGAGCTCATTCCCCTTGAGGAGACTGAAAATAAGAGACTTGCCTAGGGTTGCCTGGTGGGGGCCATGGGCAAGGTAGGACTCGCGCTTGCGACAAGGGACAATTGTGAACCGCTAGCCCCATTCCTGATGCGAACTCCTGACCTCCCTCTCCTGGCTTCCGGATTCCAGAGCTCCTCTCCTCCTAAGGCTCGGCTTCCTTGCTCTCTCTGCCACCAAGACTGCTTTTCCAGTGCCTTTGCCTCAGGGCCGGGCATTGAACCCTAAAGGGGGCTCAGGGCTACAAGGGAGCAGTGGTGAGGAATGGGCACTCCCAGCATCTAGAGATGACAGTGTGGGAAGCTTCCCTTTTGAAGGCTTCTGGGGTCCTGACTGCTGTGTGTGGGGGGTGACCTTCTATGCCCTCTCTGTAAAAAGTTTAGCCCACCCAGGACCTCATTCCTTTAACCAGCGTTTCTCAAACTTTAGCCTGCATCAGCACACCCAGAGGGTTTGTTGAAGCACAGGCTGGGCTCGCTCGACCCCTAGAGTTTCTGGATCAGTACCTCTGGGGTGACCCCACTTAGAGATCTAACAAGTTCCTGAGTGATACTAATGCTACTGGTCAGGATGGCGGTGTCTTCAAGGATTAACTCAGGAGGTCTGGGTGGTCCAAACCCGGCACATTCTGGAGAAAGGTTTGGTCCTCGACCCGGGTCGTGGGAGATCACCCCAGGCCCTTGGAATATCCCACCTGATAAGAGTGTCTTTGTTTACCTGGGGGCTGTGGGCCTCGTGGTATCAGATTAGCCTCTGGAGGGGCTGGACACTGAGTAACTAAGGCCAGCCAAGTGGATCAGCCAGGGTTACATGAGCAATTTCCAGTAGAAACACTGGACACCAAGGCTCAGGTAAGCTTTGTGGTTGGTAATCTTTCATGCATGTTGTCACACATGGAAGGCTTAAATGACTTCTTAAATGACCCCATGACTCCTGCTGGGAGAGGACAACTGGAAGCTTGCACCTGGTCTCTTTTGGACTCTGCCCTAAGTGTTATTAGCATTTGCTGATTTTTTTTTTCCCCTAAAGAGGGGGAGTCAGAGTGTACAGAGAGAGCAGGGGGAGGACAGAGAATCCTAAGCAGGCTTCAAGTGCCCAGTGTGGAGCACAACGCAGGGCTCCGTCCCACAACCCAGAGATCATGACCAGAGCACAAATCAAGAGTTGGATTCTTAACCGACTGAGCCACCTGGGCGCCTCTCCTTTGCTGATTTTAATTTATATCCTTTTACTGTAATAGTTTTTAACCATGAGTGTAACAGCTCTGCTGAGTTATGTGTGTTTTTCTAGCAAATCATTGAACCTAAGTGTGCTCCTGAGGAACCCCAATGAGAACCACTACTCTATGCTGTGGGGCTGACCTCTGGAAGATTCCTTTGCTTTAAGCTTTAGGGCCCCCTCACCCATGAGATGCCTAGAACCTGGTCTGAGGGTCCCCTTTATGGAGTGCTTTGGCCTGGATGCCAAGTGTCCCCTCTCCCTAGTCCATGGGTCAGGAGGCTGTGAATTGCCTGGAAGACTGGGTGTTGCCTTGTGGGCTAACCCTGAATGGTCCTCCTGGGTCAGCGGGCCCTGGTCTCCCCATCTGTAAATGGGGCCTTGGAGCAGTTCTACTCTCTCTGGTTCTAGTAGGCCCCCAGAGCAGCCACACATGACAAAGCTGATAGAGAATATGCTGGGCTACGGGCAAAGGCAATGTATTTTACCTGGCCTCCCTACCGCCCATGGGCACCCTACTCACCTGAGCCAGGGACCTTGGAGTGCTGGGGCCCACGGGTTTCAGGAGATCCAGACACTCAGTGCTGCTCCTCCCGGGACCGCCTGTTCCACAGTACTTGGGCCCTCTCTGGCCCATTCTGCCCTGGCCTAAGCCCAGGCCCACCATCCAACACAGGGAAGAAGGCCCCAGAGTGCCCTCTGGGTATGTGGCTTTATTCACAGACTCAGCACTTGCTGAGAATAGAAGGAAAGAACATGGGGGGTGGGGCCAGGCTGGGTCCGGAGATAAGGGCGGCTGGGAGGCCATGCACGGGTTGGACTGGGAGCTCACAGGAGAGGACCCGTCGGCTGGGCCAGGCCTGTGTGGGGCAGGCTGGACGCAGGCAGCATGCGGGAGACCTGGCTAGGCCTGCGTGGAGCAGATCCATCCAGGTGGCGGCTGTGAGCCAGAGAGGGAGGGAGGGACCGAGGATTTCTCTGGGGCAGAGGGTATGGATGTGGGGCTAGACAGCAGGCACCCCTGCCCCTCATTCCCAGGGAAACGACAGAGTGGGACAGTCAGAACACCTGGAGCCTGGTCCTGCTCCTGGTGTGTGACGGCAGCCAAGCTGGTCTCTTCTGGTGACATTGTCCTGCTGATGCTTGGACGTTTGCTGTAGGGACACTCTGGGGACATCTGTAGGGAGGCTAGACAACCCTGGAGAGTGTGCCTAGGACCCAGCGTCGGCGCGGCAGGGGTGGGGTGGGGTGGAGTGGGGGGTGGGGGGGCAGTGCCAGGGGAGGGAGGGGATACCCAGTATCCAGCCAGGGGGTGCTGCCTTGGAGCCAAGCTTTCCTCTCAGTGGTTGGCATCAGCTCCCTGCTGTTGGCCCGGGGGCGGGGGGTGGGGTGGGAGGGGGGTACCATCTCCCACAGCCATCCCCATGGGGCCAGCCCCTGGGCCAGGGATGACTGAAATGTGAACCTATTTACTCCTGGCCGGGCCTGCTGGCTCCCCACAGATTTCCTGCCTGAAGGCAAACAAGGGATCTAAAAGCTTGGATCCTCCTCTCCCCTGCCTTCTTCCTGGTGACAGCCCATGCCCACCAAGCAGGAACAGAAAAACCAGTTCCCCCAGTTCAGGTTTGTTCCCTGCCTGGGAATAGCAACAGTTTGGAAAGCTGGCAGGGTCTGTCTGGGCCGTCCAGGAAGGTGACCTATGGCTCCCCCCCGCCCCCCCGGAAGCCTGGTGAGGACAGAGCAGGGCCCTGGGTCTGAGGTCGCAGGCCCTGCCCGCTTCCTTCCTGCCCGGCTGTCCCAGGGCCTGGGGTGGCGGGCCTGGATGCCGGCTAGGGGCCCTCAGCACTGGCGGGAGGGGGTGCGGTGCACAGAGCCCGGGCGCTTGGGGATCTTGCGCCAGCGACGCTTGTCCCAGCGGCAGAGCAGCAGCAGGCGGAAGGTGTCCCGGAAGGCTTTGTTGCAGAGCGCGTAGCACATGGGGTTGATGGTGCTGTTGACGTAGCACAGCCAGTAGCCCAGCTCCCACAGGGTCTCGGGAACACAGTTCTTGCAGAAGGTGGACACCAGCACCATGATGTTGTACGGCGTCCAGGTGACGATGAAGGCCAGCAGAATGGCGCTCAGGGTCCGAGCCGCCTTCTTCTCCTTGACCAGCGAGAAGGTCTTCCGCTTGGCCAGCTGCTCCTTCCCCCGGGGCTTCTGGCTCTTGCCCGCCCGCTCACGCCCCTTCCGGGTTGGCCTCTTGACCGTGTTGGGGGAGCTCCGGGGGGGCTGCTTGGCGGGGGCCTGGCCCTCGGGGTCCACCATGGGCATCTTGATCACCACCTCGGAGCCGGGCTCCTCCCCCTCGGAGGACGTGAGGGACTCCATGGAGCCTTCGTCCTCTTCCTCCTCTTCCTTCCAGCTGTAGGCCTGCAGCAGCCTGGGCGCCCGGCAGCAGCGGCAGCAGCGGCCCGGAGGGGTCTCCGGGGAGCCCTCTGTCCCCCGCTGGGACCGCTCAGAGCTGCTGCTGCTGCCGCCCCCCTTCCCGGGCGTCTCGGAGCCCTGCAGGGCCGCCAGCTCCCGGGCCCGGTTCTCCGTCTCCCGGTAGATGCGCCAGTAGAGCGTGCACATGACCGTGACCGGGAGGTAGAAGGCGGCCATGGCTGTGCCGAAGGTGATGATGGGCTGCGAGAGGAACTGGATGTAGCACTGCCCGGCCAGGACCGTCCGCTCCCCTACCAGGTACTGCCAGAAGAGGATGGCCGGAGCCCACAGGATGAAGGAGACCAGCCAGGCCAGGCCGATCATCAGGGCCGCCCGGCGGGGTGTGCGTTTGGCTCGATAGCTCAGGGGCCGGGTCACGGAGAAGTAGCGGTCGAAGCTGATGAGCAGCAGGTTCATGACGGAGGCATTGCTGGCCACGTAGTCCAGGGCCAGCCAGAGGTCGCAGGCCAGGGTGCCCAGAGCCCAGTGGCCCATGAGCAGGTACGTGGTATAGAGGTTCATGGAGAAGGTACCGATGATGAGGTCAGCACAGGCCAGGCTGAGCAGGAAGTAGTTGTTGACTGTCTTGAGCTCAGTGTTGACCTTGAAGGAGATGAGGACCAACAGGTTCCCTGTCACTGTGGCCAGGGACAGGAGGCCTGTGGTGATCCCAATGAAGGCCACTTGCCAGGGTCCTTTTCCCGGTGCCAGGACGGTGATGTTGGGGCTGACGGCGGGTGGGGCCGAGGTATTCATGGTGGTGGGCTGGGGTGGGGGGGGCAGCCCCTTCCTCTAGTCGTGGTACAGGGCTTCCTCAGGGGGAGGTCATCACCTGGAACAAGAGGACATGAGCTTTGGTTGGGTTGCTGCTCGTCTCTGATAGCTTGGGGCGGACAAGCGCTGGGGACACGGCCTCTGCCTTCTTGGACCCTTAGGCGAGACGTCATCCCTTCTCACCCGTGGCCACTCACAGTCATTCATAAGGCACTTTCCCAGCCATGAATGGATGTGCCAGCAGCCCTGGGGGGTGGGGATTTGGAATCCAGAGATGGAGTCCTCCTTCCGGCTTCACCGTTCAGACTCCCAGCCTCAATTTTCTCATTGGGAAATTGCTACTAATTCCTGTCTTGCTTCACTCCTGTGGCAGGAGTCGGGAGACTCGCTTTGTATACAATACTGCCAAATTTTCAAAGCACTTCAGTCAATTTTATTAAAGCTCTCATTTACTAGGTAGTTACTACATGCCAGACACAGCACTAAGCACTTAACTGAATTACCTAATTTAACTGTCGTACATCCCTAGGAGGAAGGTCTCTTAGGCTCCCCATTTCCCCAAGGCAGCCGTGGCTCCAAGCGGCCACTAGAGCAGGCCACAGTGACAGAGGAGGTGAGTATGGCTAGAACCACGTCTCTCTTTTACTTTGAACATGTGGAGCTCCAGCAGGATTCTTCCATCAAATAAGATGGGAAGGCCGAGATGGGAAGGCCGGGGCAAGGCTCTAGAGAAGATAACGGGGAGGTTACGTTGCCGTGTCTGCATGTTTCCCTGGGTGTATGTGTGAGTGCGCGCGCATGCATGTCTGTGTGTGACACAGAGATAGAAAGAGAGAGAGAATGAGAGAGGAGGAAGGCAGAGTTTGGAGCTGGATCAGCCCCTCTAGGAGGGCAGCCGGGTAAGTTGCTCTGGGCCTAAATGCTTGTCTGGTGGTAGAAAGTCTGGAGGGAGAGGCTCCTGGGTGGCTCAGTTGGTTAAGCATCTGTCTTTGGCTCAGGTTATGATCCCAGGGTCCTGGGATCGAGTCCCGAGTTGGGTTCCCTGCTCAGTGGGGAATGTGCTTCTCCCTCTGCCTGACGTTCTGCCTGCTTATGTTCTCTCTTTCTCTGACAAATAAACAAAATCTTAAAAAAAAAAAAAAAAGAGTCTGGAGTGAATGTAGGCAGCAGTAGTGGGGCGCTGTTGGCGGGGAAACCGAGGACCTCAGCTCCCAGCAGGGGTCTGGCCCCTGATGAGGTGTGGGAGACCCCTTCTGTCTCCCCACTCTCTTCTTGGGTCCAAGCTGAGTGAGGAGCAGCAAGGGGAAAGGGAAGATTCCCCCACATTTTTCTTGAAACTGGAGTCCAGCCCAGGCACTAAAGGACTAAAGGTGGGTAAAGGGAAAAGCCGGGTCTCTTAGCAACCTTAGCAGGAGAACCCCACCACTCAGCCACCATTTTGCTGTTCTTTGTTTTGGCAGGTCTCTTCCTGTCCTGGGCCTCAGGCATCCGTCTGTCCTTGTAAGACTGGGGTCTCTTCCCACCTGCCGCTATGGTTTCAGGGGTTGTATCATTGGAAAAATTCCAAGGGAGAGACATCGGGCACCGGGCTCTGGTGTTCCTCAGGAACTGGTCTGTGACAGAGAGATGAGCGTGCTGTGTGCCTGTGAGGAGGTCGAGGCATGACAGGCGGCTGTGACATCCTGTGACCGAGGGTGTGTTGCTGAGGTCATCTACACCGGTCATGGGGTCGGGGTGTGAGAGGGACTCTCAGGATGGCAGTCGGGAGTGTGACAGAAGGAGCGAGAAGGACCGTAGCTGTCAGCGTGTGCTTGTGTGTCTTGGGCAGTTTGCACATCAGGAGGACACGGCACGTCACGGTGGAAGGGCCTGGACAGCCTGAGCCCGACTGGCTCCGTTGGGACCCAGGCGGTACCATTTACAGGGTATGGGATCGATGCTGGCGGTGTCATTGCCAGGTGCCTCAGTTTCCTCAGCTGGAAAACAGGAATGACACTAGTCCCTGGCGAATAAATCAAGGAATTGTTTTGAGGCCGAAATGGGTCTATAGATGAAGAGTGCCTGGGACAGGCCTGGCACCAAAGGCCTGAACTTGGTTCCCGTTGATTCTTAGCATGTGTGCCGGTGAGGGCTTCCTCCTATGAGGGTCTGCTCCTTTTTCTTTTCTTTTCTTTTTTTTTTAGAGATTTATGTATTTGAGGGGCGCCTGGGTGGCTCAGTGGGTTAAAGCCTCTGCCTTCGGCTCAGGTCATGATCCCGGGGTCCTGGGATAGAGCCTCGCATCGGGCTCTCTGCTCAGCGGGGAGCCTGCTTCCCCCTCTCTCTCTGCCTGCCTCTCTGCCTGCTTGTGATCTCTGTCTGTCAAATAAATAAATAAAATCTTAAAAAAAAAGATTTATGCATTTGAGACAGAGAGAGGGAGAGAGGGAAGGAGGGGAGGGGCAGAGGGAGAGAAAGAAGCAGACTCCCTGATGAGCAGGGAGCCCGACACGGGGCTCCATCCCAGGACTCTGGGATCGTGACCTGAGCCGAAATCAAGAGTTGACTGAGTGAGCTTAACTGTCTGGGCCATCCAGGCACCCCAAGTGTCTGCTCCTTTGATTAAAAATTTCATGGGGTGTCTGGCTGGCTCAGTCGGTGGAGCATGTGACTCTTGATCTTGGGGTCATGAGTTCAAGCCCCACGTTGGGTGTAGAGATTACTTAAATAAACTTAAAAGAAATTTTGAATACTATGACAATAGCAACTGCCAACGATAATGATCATTGTTACTATTCAGTGTTCCCTGAGTGGCAGTCGCTGCTGAAAGCACTTATGTGCATTACTGCATTTAATCTTAACGGGAAACACGTGACCTAGGGGTTGTTCTTCTCTCCATTTCCCAGGTGAAAAACCGAGGTTGGGAAAAGCAAAATCAGGCAGGTAAGGTAGGAAACAAGATCTGAGCCCAAGCGCTTTGTTCCACTGAAACTGTATTTATAAAAACCGATGGCTAGCTTGGAGGCTATCATAGTTTGCCAATTGGAATTTTATCTGTCTTTTTTTTTTTAAAAAAAAGATGTTATTTATTTGACAGAGAGAGAGACAGCGAGAGAGGGGACACAAGCAGGGGGAGTGGGAGAGGGAGAAGCAGGCTCCCCACAGAGCAGAGAACCCAATGTAGGGCTGATCCCAGGACCCTGGGATCCCGACCTGAGCCGAAGGCAAGATGCCTAATGACTGAGCCACCCAGGAGCCCCTGGAATTTTATCTCTTAAATTGTATTTATTTATTTGTTTTTTTGTTTTTTTTTTTTTTTTACTAATCTCTATACCCAGTGTGGGGCTTGAACTCACGACCCTGATATCAAGAGTTGTGTGCCCTTCTGACTGAGCCAGCCAGGCGCCCCACCAATTTGAATTTTAAAAATATTATGCTGAAAAAAAAATTATGCTGAAATATTATTTGTCTTGCTTACTGAATTTTGTTGCATTCTCTTCCCATAACCAAAGTCAGATGCTGGGCTGGAGGCTGGCATGGGACTGTGCCCACGGGGGCTTTCCCTGGGGAGGCACTTGTGGATGCCAGCAGCCGTGACATGGTTGCCCTGCACAACTCCTGCCCCTCTGATCTGAACTCAGTGCTGTTTAGTGCCCATTGCACAGATAGAGCAACTGAGGTCCAGAGAAAAGGGGGAAGAAGGCATGGTGTATCTCCAAAGTCTCCTGGCTCCTAACTCGGGTGCCGGCTCCCTTTCCCAATCCCTCAACCTCTGGTGCTTTGGGGCAGCTCTGGAGCCCCCCGTGGCTCCCTGGGTCAAGATGGGAAAAGACTAAGTCAGAGTCAGACAAGATGAACTTGCTGACCTCAGAGGCCGCACCCCAAGCAGCTGCGGGGGCGTCCTGTCTGCTGGGGCGTGGTGTGGCCATCAGCGCTGCGTCAAGGCCTCCCATCTGTCTGATCTGGTCCCACACCACTGCCGGGCTAGGCTTGGGGCCGGGGGGTGGTGAGGAAGACAGTTTTGCCTCGGGTGTAAAATCAGAGGTGCCCTCAAACTCAGTGTTCAAGAAAGTGGATATTTTAATGCAATATTTAAAAAGTTGATGGGGCACCTGGCTGGCTCGGTGACTCTGGATCTCGGGGTCATGGTTTCAAGCCCCACATTGGGTGTAGAGAGTACCTTAAAAAAAAAGAAAGGAAGCTGATGCACAACCATCCATCATGAATAAAATTTTAAAGAAAGGCAGGGTCCAATCTTGCACTTGCACAAACCATCCTATCACCCGTGACTCACCCTGATCTTGGCCCCGGTTCCAATGAAACTTTATTTATAAAAACAGACGGCCCGCCTGTGGGCTGTCTAGTTGCTGTCTGATTTTTTTTTTTTTTGTCAAGTTTGATTTTTAAAAACGTAACATTACAATATTATTTATCTCCATTAGTGAGTTTTTATGTGTCCTCCCTCAAAACTGTCTCTTCCTAGCGGTGTGATCCTCAGCAACCGTTTAACCTGTCCTTCCCCGGCCACCCTGTATCTGCCAGCTGCTGGGGTTCACTGCATCCAGAGCACGTCTCTGGACTTATTTCTGGCTCCTCAGTCCCACCCACAGCCCAGCCCCCTCTTGCTGTCCAGAACCCGGCACAGCCCCGCTCCAGTCCTAGATTCCTCATTTGTTTTTTTCCTTTCTTTTCTTTTTAAAAATGTGTTTTTATTTATTATTATTACATATATATATATTTAAAGACTATTTACTCATTTATTTGAGAGAGAGAGAGAGAACAAGAAGAGAGAGGAGCAGAGGGAGAAGGAGGCGCAGACTCCCTGCTGAGCAGGGAGCCCGATGCGGGGCTCCATCCCAGGACCCCCGAGATCGTGACCTGAGCTGAAAGCAGACGCTTGACTGGCTGAGCCACCCAGGTGCCCCAGCTTTGATGAGTTTTAAAAAAGGCTTTCGGAATGGAGGATCTATGAGAAGTGGTCCTTGGAGGCAGTCCCCCTCCTTAAGGGCTAGAAATCCCTCCCACTAACTCATTTTTTTAAAAAGATTTTATTTATTTATTTATCAGATAGAGAGAGAGCACACACAAGTAGGCAGAGAGGCAGGCAGAGGCAGAGAGAGAAGCAGGCTCCCTGCCGATCAAGGAGCCCGATGCGGGACTCGATCCCAGGATGGTGGGATCGTGACCTAAGCCGAAGGCAGCGGCTTAACCGACTGAGCCACCCAGGTGTTCCCCACTCACTCATTTTGATAGCCACGCTGATAACCACCATCATGAATCACGTCCTGCGTGCCAGACACTTGACGTCGCTATCATTTCCTGTAATCCTTCGGGCACCCCAGCGGGAGTCTTATCTCTATTTCACAGACGATGTCGCTGAAGTTTAACTTGCCTGATGGTCTCACAGTGGTGAGAAGTGGTGGAGCTGGGATTCGGCCCCGGGGCTGGGCTGCGGCTCTGACACCTGCGTTCTTCCCGCTTGGCAGACTCCCCTATACCCCACCTAGGAGCTGGAGGAACTAAGGCCTCCCAGGAGAACCGGGGCAAAGAGGAGGGTAGTGATTCTGGGGAACTGGACCCCAATTCTTCCACTGCCTGGATCTTCTGAGCTCTTGGGCTACTGCCCAAGGACCGAGTCGTCAATAACTCTGCCTTTCCTCCCCAGTCAGAAGCAGAGGCCGCCCCCAAACCTCTTTCAGACAGGGATTTGCTCAGGAGAACATTCCCAGGGGCCTGCTCTGGTCCCTGCGGTGTGACCTTGGGCAAGTCACTGTCCCAACCTGGTAATCCTTCTGTAGGCTGATGGTGTGTGAGGGTGTGTGCATTGCTGAGTGGGAATAAGAAATGGTGGTGTGGTGAGGTGCTGGTGGGGCACCTGGGTGGCTCAGTCGTTGAGCAGCTGCCTTCGGCTCAGGTCATGATCCCAGGGTCCTGGGATCCAGCCCTGCATCGGGCACCCTGCTCAGCGGGAAGCCTGCTCCTCCCTCTCTCACTCCCTCTGCTTGCGTCCCCTCTCTCGCTGTGTCTCTCTCTGTCAAAAAAATAAATAACATCTTTAAAAAAAATGGTGGGGGTGAGTCTCTCCTCCGTGGGTGTCACGTCTGGGGTACCAGAAGGAGGCGAGGAAGCAGGACTGTGGCCTCCTGATGAAGGCTGTTGGAGCTTTTAATAATATTATTAATATTATCATAACAACTGGCATTCACTGATTGTTTACCATATATCAGACCCAGCTCTAAGCTTTCTAGTTATGATTTAATTGACCTGCTACAACTCCTTGTGAAACAGGCTTTATTGTCCTCAATTTGCAAAAGGGGTGACAAAGGTTTTGAGGCCTTAAGGACCTTAACTCCTTAATGCAACCAGGATGTAGACCTCTTGGACCCCTGCTTACTCTGAACTGCTCTTGTGGGAATGGCGGGCTCCCCAGCCTCCTCGCCCACCTTGGCTGACTTGGCCAACCCAGAGTTTGAGGTTTGAGTCAATGAAGAACCCATCTTTCCTTTAGAATCTGGCCTGGGTTTGTGTGTGTGTGTGCGTGTGTGTGTGCGTGTGCGTGTGACAGTGTCTGTTGTCGATCTGCGTGATGTGTGATGACAGCGCTGAGGAAGGGGGAGGTCTAGCCATAGCTCTCTGAGAAGCAGGGTAGGGGCTGCTTTAACCCAGTGCTTGGCACACGTAGTTTCTCCATAAATATTTTGTGTAACAAATAAGTGAATATGTACGTGGGGTCCTCCTGTTTCACGTCAGGCTCGGGAGCATGCCCCCTACTCCTTCTGGCTGTTGCTTACCCTCACCTGCCGGGTCCCTGTCTCCTGGGTGAGGCCCTGTCTGGCTTGAGAGCACAGGAGAGAAATGGCCAAGAGCATCCTCACCTGTTCAATGGACCAAGGAACCTCCTGACTCACCTGCTGTGGAGAAGCTGAGCGCGGTGATAGGACAGGTGTGGGCGTGGGAGGGGGCCCGTCAGTGCTGGGGGAGGAAAAAGTCAGCCTGGGCTTAAAGGGTTAAGGGATGAGGTCAGAGCCTCTAGAACAGCAGGCCAGACTACTGACCGCCAGAGCCTTGGATGGATCCCCAGGGGCTGGGGATCTGGCTGGCAAGAGGAAGGGGGAGGTCAGGAGCGATTGCTGGGGAGAGGGATTCCTGAACACTGGGGTTCCTGAATCTTACCACTGGTGGAGTGGTGGAGAAGGGGAGAGGGAGAGTGAGGGGTTGCTGGGGAAGAGATTCAGGAGGGAGGAGCGAAGCCATCTTGTGATTCTGGGCCTGGAAGCTGGCCGAGCCCTGACTGGAGAGAATGAGCAGTACTGGGGAGAGGGAGATACGAGGTAGGGTCTGTGCGGCTGGGCTTCTGGGGTTTCACACGTGCAGGGAGGGGGGCATTCTTCTGGCCAGGTCTTCTGACGGGTCCCTTCTGCTGGGCCCTTCATCCAGAAGCCAGCCTGTCGCAGGCGGCTTTCTCCCCCTGGGTTAAGTTTTCTCTAAAAGTAGCTCTTGACCCATTAAAGGTGCACAAAACTCCTACCTCCAATGCCTGGCCTTGGGAAGGAGGGGGCAAACACATGCAATTTACCACATTTTCAAGCTCAACAGTCACCACTGGGAATGCCAACTAGCCCTGGGGAGAGCAGGAGCCATCAGTTAAATGCTCGTAAGTGTGCTGCTGAGCCGGAAGAGGAGCGTCAGCCCTAGAACCACTGCCAAACACACTCACGGCTGATGGACTTTAACCAGTTCCCCGACGTCAGCCAAACCATGCCAGAGCCAGGAAGTCAGCAGGCTGGACCCTAGACCTCACTCCGCCAGTTGGCATCATCAGTGCTCCGCCCCTCATCCACCTCTCCACTTGCCCCTGTTCTTCCATCCTTGAGTTCTCCTCCCCATTTCCTTTCTTCTCTCTCCCTCCCTCCCCCATCCTTCTAGGCATCACCATGGCATCACAGCAGAGCAGAAACCCAGCAAGATAGTCACCCACCTCTCCCCGCCCGCCCTCCCCTCCTGAGCCCAAGCTCCTGCCTCCCAAGGCTTGCTGCTCCCCTCACCCCGTCATCCTGCTCGGGAGGTGGGAGGGCAGCGTTGCCCTGAGGGTGAGGGCAATGGGGTCCCAGCCCCGGAGGAACCCTCCATGTCCCTTCTGGGACCATGAGCATGTCCCTTCTCCTTCCTCAGCCTCAGTCTCTTCATCTGTTCTCTGGAGAGGTTCCTTTTTAGGGCTGACGTGACCTCTGCCTAATCCCTTCTTGACACTCTGGATGCCTCTTTGCCCTTGGGGATCTAGTTCTCAGACCTCCAGGCCCCAGCCCGGGAGACAAGAGTCACGTCTTCCACAGCCCCGTTTCACCATCCCCTCCCCTCACTGCGTTCTGTATCACAGCAGCGATCATGGCTTGCCCAGTGGCTAAGGTCAGGGGGCAGAGAACTAACTCTTATCTGACAGCTCAGTGAGCAGCTGATTACCCAGGGATAGGAGACTGTCCGACTACAGGAGACAATCTGACTCCTTCCGGCCAGTTGGGAGAGGGGGGTGGGTGGCTGGTGGTGGTTGGGTCAGCCTGGGTGGAGCTGTAGGTCTGTTTTGTGGCAAGAGGTGAGCCCCTCTTGCTAGCACCGAGAACTCCTAAGCAGCACTTGTCTGAATGACCCAATGGGAGCTGACCACCCCCTTCCCAGCTGCCGGCCCGGGAGCTGGCAAATCTGCAGAATCAGAGCTGGTGGCCTCCAGCCCCTCCCTACCTACATCGTGGGGTCTGGGGGCTCCTGGGATGGGTCCCTGCATGGGTGCCCATTAGTACTGATGCATTAACAGGCTACAGGACTGAGACCTGCTCTGGGGGAGCCCAAGATACTGTGGACATAGGGAGTGCTCTCTGGGCCCTTGCACACGTCAGGGCCACGTACCCTGACTGGTGTGGCCTTCCATGTGCCCATTTGTTCCCGGAGAGCCCAGGGGCTCTTGGCCTGGGCCCCTGCTGGCTTCTGGCCTAACACCCACCTTGGCATCCAGCTTGTCCGTCTGGCCAGCAACCTGGTTCAGTCCATCTTTGGGGGGCTGAAGGTGGATGGGGGTGGTGGGAGTCAGGGTTCCCTGAGGGAAAAGAGGAGGAGGTTCTGGGACGGGCACACCGATGCTGGCGGGGGGCAACCTCCCACAGGATGCTGGTGGCAAAGGCCGCCCTCTGGCCCCCTGCACTTTCCACTCTGTCTCTGGGATTCTGGGTCCTCTGCCTGCTAGGGGGCGGCTTAGTCCCTCTGGGCTCCAGGTCCAGTTTCCTAAGGGGAGGCGTCTCCATCTTCTCTGCCAGCTGAACCCCAGAAAAACATCGGGTGTATCTGTTCAAAGCCACGAGACCGGGTGTTTGGAACAGCCACTGTCCAGTGCTGCAGAGCCCCCTTGGTCTCTAGACCCCTCCTTGGCCCCCTCCTCTCTTCGGAGTTCATCCCCATTTGCTAGTCCTCGTCTCTGCTTTGCTCCCAGGACCTGCTCTTCCCGCCCCCACCTCGGTGGAGCCCCTCCCGAACCCTTCCAAATGTACTCACCATGGGACTGGAGAAGGGTCTGTAGGGTCCTCAGCCCCACTGCCTCCCCGGGGGCCGGCGGCGTCTCCAGGGACCCAAACACCTGGCTCCCGGGGGGAGCTGCGCCCTGTGCTGGCAGCCGGAGAGGCACAGCCAGTGATTGGCATGTCCCACCCCCTGGCACGCCAGCCTTGGGGGGGAGGGAGGAGAGGAAAGAGAGGGAGGGAGGAAAGGGAGAAAAGGAAGGGAGGGGGAGCTGGAGGGAAGCCTCAGGCAGCGTCTGGGGTTGGACTAGGTCCTGGAGCATGCCCCCCTCCTCCACTAGGGCACCTAATTCGAGCCCGGAGAGGGAGGAGGTAGGACATGGGGAAAATGAGCCCAGGAAGGCTAAAAGTCCGGACGGGAGAGAAGGCGGATACAAGGAGACAAACACCCACACCCACTGCACACAGACTCAGCGGCACACACACACACACACACACACACCCTCACAAAGGCACACTGTTTCCCCAGGGCTCCTTCCCCCACCCACCCTTAGAGCCCCCAACCGGTGCACACCATGCCCCGACACACACAGCCTAGCATTCACATGCTTGTTTCCCTCATCCACGCCCTGAGCCCTGCCCATGCCCACGCGCCCACCCACCCACCCAGCCCCACACCCTGCCCTTCCTCCTTGCTGCGAAGGAGCTAGCTAGATTCCTTCTGTTTGGAAATGACACATTGGGCCTCACGTGAGAGGCTCCAACTTGGAACAGACCCAGAGGGCTGGCGCACCCGCCCCAGGGGCTGGGCAGACGTGGCCGCGTGCTGGGCTGCGTGCTCTTGTGTCCGTCCCCACTGCAGAGCCCGGGTGTGAGGCTATACAGGGGTCTGGTTGGAAGGAAGGAGTGGGGGGGCGTGTGCTCACTACACGTGCTGCTGAGTGTCCCCCCCACGCGAATGTCCCTGAATACCGTGCAACCTGTGTAAATGCAGGTGTCACCCCGTTGGTCTGGAACCAGGACGTGTGTGTACACGTGTATCTGTATTCGGTGTGTGTCTGAGTGTTGCCCAACTGTGGAACTTGCTAATTCTCCCTCCCTGCCTCCACCTCCCTGCCTGCTCCACTCCCACCTTCCACTTGGAAGACAGACAGACAGGCAGACAGACAGCTCTCCTCCCAGCTTGTCAAATTCTGTCTCCCCTGACTCCCACTCAGGGCTCACAGGTGTGTTCCTGGGAAATGACAACCTTGCCCTTATTCCCCACCTGCCTTAGTCCCACTGCTTGGTCAGTAACCCCCCCCCCCCACCTTTTGGATTTCTGTGCTGAGTTTCCTCAGAGATAGAATTCTGGGGGCCCTTTGCATAGAGCCCAGGGCTCTGCGTGGCCCTCACTTGGCCCTAGAGACCTCCCAGGGGAACTGACCTGGGGAGGGAAGCTGGGGAGCCCTCTGCTGGGCTGCTGTGTCCTCTGCCCCACTGGTCCATGCCCAAGCTCTGGGGTGGAAGATAGGAAGGACAAAGATCATCTATTAGTCCCATTATGCAGATGAGAAAACTGAAGATCAGAGGCGTGATTAATACGTGAATGGACTCAGGTCCCTTGGCTCTAAGTCAAGGGGTTGGGACCTGCCCCCCACTTTTCCCCTTACCATTTCCCCACCAAACACCCCCTCTCAATCCGGAGGCCTGTGGATAACCCAGGGCTTCCTCAGGCTGCAGCCCAGTTGCCAGTGGAGCCAGGCAGAACAGGCACGGGAGTCCCCGGGGCTTGGCCAGCAGCCATGGGATGCCAGCGGTGGGCACACGTGGCAGGTACATGTGGGGGATGTCTGCGTCTCAAAGCCAGCTGCGGGTAGAGCAAGCATGCAGGTCACCTCCCTCCTGAAGCCGAGGAGACACGGCAGCTTGGAGACGAGTCCCAGCAACCCCCTCCCACCCTAGGGCCGACCAGCAGGTCAGGGTGGGGTCAGAACGCCACAGGTCCCTGTCCGTGGGCGCGGACTCGGGCTGCCCCCTGCTGGGCGGTCCTCGGGTTGCGGCTGCGGCTGGCGCGCGCGGTGGGGCTGCGTGTACTTGTGCGCGTACACGTGGCTGAGTGTGGGGGTGTTAGGCCTCCACGCTCAACATCCATTTCCGAGTCTGAATCAGGCTCTCTCCTTGCCCCCTCCCCCCAGTCTCCTTGGTCTCCCTTTTCTCTTCTCCCACCGCCTCTGCACACGTCCCTTTAGAAATAAAAACACTTATTTTGTAGGCGGGGGTGGGGTGGAGGGGGGAGGGTGTCCAGCTTTCCCTTGCTTCTTCTTGAGTGCCCCTCTCTGTCCCAGGCGGTTTCCTCCTTAAGTCCGTGAAGCTGCGGAGGCAGGGGGATGATGTCCCCCCCAGCCCCCCGTCCCCCCAGCCTGTATGACTCTTCTCCGCCCAGACTTGGCTCGGTCCCCTTACCAGATGGGGAAACTGAGGCAGGAAGGGAGGGAGGGCCAGGAGAAGCTCTCCCACCCGGCTCTCTCACCGCCCCCGCACCCGCGCCGGATTTAGCCGCAGGGAGGCTGGGAACATTGTCTTTATTTTAAGCCGCCGAGTGAGGCACGAACGCTGCTGCTCGCGACAAAGGGCTTGGCTAAGCAGCGGCAGGCGGCGCACGTGGGGGTCCAGCCCCACCCCCGCTCGACGCCCCCCAGCAACCCGGGAGCGGCCCGGCCTGACCTCAGCCACTTCTCTCTTCTGTCTGGCCGGCTGGGTCGCCGCCTGGCGCAGGACACCCGGGTCTCGGCTCCTGCGGGTTGCTATTTTTGGTCCCTTGGCTGAGGAGTCACTCCTGCGGGCCACCGAGGGAGCGCGGGGCTGACGGCGCGCCGGGCCGGGCCCCTCTCTCAGCCTCCTTCCGGGGAGGAGTAGACAAGCGGTCCTGGGTGCGAATCCGACTCTGCCTTCTTCCCCGCTGACCCGCCCGGAGCAAGTTAGGTCCCCTGTCTAGGTCTGTTTCTTTATCCCGGTCACGGAAGTCAGACGTTTGACCCTCTGTTGCCGGTTAAACGTGGCACTGTCGTTTCGCCACCGGTGAAGGCCATGATCGTCGTTATTTATAACCTGCATTGAGCACTTACTACGTGCCCGGCGCTGCTAAACGCTCTACATTCATTAACGGGTTTGCTTCTCCCCACAGCTCCCTGAGGGAGTTTCTATTATTATTCCCATTTTACAGATGAATAGGTTTACAAGCGGCGCGTGACCCCGGGGCGGGTGCGGTCAGCGTGTCTCGGGCCACGCTGGGACTGGGGTCGCAGTGGGGGTGCTCCGGCTGCAGCTCCAGGAATGACAGAGATCTGCTGGGCGACCGCGTGGTTGAAAGGCGGGGGCTCCTGGCTGAGGGCTGCGAGGGGTTGGGGACAGGAAGTGAGCGTGCTCGGGGAGTGTGCTGGTGCTCCGCGCCCGAAGCCCCTCCGTTTAAACCCTCCCCTCGGCTTGGACCCCCCAGAAGCTCAAACCCAGATACATTCGCCACTTGTCAGTGCCGCTTCCTCTGTCCTGGGAAGAGGCCGGAGTGGGCGATTCTTTTTGTTCCCACCGGACCACCGGACCTATGAAGTCGAACCGGTTGGGTCTCAGTGCCCTGAGGAATGGGCGTGGGTTGGAGGTTTCACCAGCCGTGGGAGGTGACCTCGGTTCCGAGCCGGGTGGGGGGCGGGGTCAGGGAAGGCAGCTGGTCGTCCTGCCCGCGTCCTTCTTTGCCCACCCCCACCGCTGCTCTAGGCCTCTTTACACCCCTTCCCTCACCTCCCCAACGGTGGGGACTCCGGGAGAGACTAATTCCCAGGTAAAAGAAGAAACTAATATCCAGGGTGGGGCTGAAGATAAATGGGGGCTAGTAACGTCCTCCCCCCCCCCCCACCCCGCGCCAGTCCCTGACAATTGGGGCCCGGGAGAAAGTGGCTACAACAAAAAGCATCATCTTGGGACAGGAGATCGAGGTTTTCCGATCCCGTTCCGCAGTTAAGGCCTCTGTTCGAGAAACAATCTCCCTCTGCGCCCCGGGCTCTTCACTTCCCGGGCGGGGCTATTTGCAGGTACCTACGGGGCAGCGTCAGGGCCCCGGGAAGCCCAGCTCTACTCGCCCCGAAGCCTTGAGGTCGGCTTCCGGAGAATGAATGGGTTCCGGGAGACCCAGACTCTGGTTCCTTGCGCGGCCTGGACCTGGGCTGAGCGCCGCCTGGTCATTCTGGCGGCTGGAGCGACAAGGGGTCGCGCCGGGATGTTGAATGCTGGGAACAGAGGTGACGCATCTTGGACAAGTCTGTGAATCTCGGTTGCACGGGGCTCCGGGGAGGAGCAGCGTTCCTGTTGGGCGTCCCTAAGCGCTCTCTGTCCCGCCTATGAGGACAGGACCTCGGAGTCCAGGTCACTTGCTGCCGCCTAGGAGATGGACGCACAGTTGACGGACGAGCGGCCCAGAGGAGGGAAGGGACGCTTTCCCCAGCGCTATGGAGGCCGTGCTTCCCACTCAAATCTCTCCGGTCAAAAACGGTTTGGAAAATCTGATGAACGGTGTCAATTTTGCTCCGCCCGGTCAGTGGACACCAGGTCCCCAAGTTTGCAGCAACCTGGTATATGAGACCTGCCCCTGGACTTGACCCGATGTGAGACTGCTGGAGACAAGTGGTGCAGAGCTTTGGGCGGGCGCGTCGGGCCGGATCCCCAGAGCTTCTCTCCAGCCCCCCACGGCTCAGTTCACGTGTCCAGCGAGTGAGCCGGGTGAGGCTGGACTGATGTCAGGGTCCCCTGTCCACGGCCGGGCTAGGTTGGCTTCCCTGCCTCCTAGCACCCCCTCCCCCCCCGACCCCCGTGAGCTTGTACGCCTTGTCCTCGAGTCCCCACCAGGACAGAGACCGAAGCTCGAAGCCCACAGTGGCGAGGAGTGGGACGGAGCAGGGTGAGAGGAGCCTAAGCCCGCTCTCTCTCCTGCTCACCTCCCCCGCGAGACCCTCGCCCCGGGCACGGGCGCAGCAAGTACGTCGGCGGTCAGAGCGCTGCCCACCCTCCCGGCCTGCTGAGTGGTGGCCCTGGCGCGGCAGTTCTCCGCGGTCCTCTGCCTCTGTGCCGGCTGCTCTGGACCTTCCGGAGGTACCCACCAGCCCTCGCACCTCCGCCGCGCCCTCTAGCGGCCGGGCTCCTGGTCCCGGAGGGGCGGGGCGAGAGGCCGGGCGGGGGCGGGGTTGTGCCTTCGCAGGGAGAGGAATAGTAGTACAAAGGCCTCTTTCCTGACCTACAGCGCAGGCCCTTCGTGTGCAGGACTGGGTAGGGATGGTGCAGACCCAACTCTCAGAAGTACTCTTCATTGCAGCACTTACCCTTTGCTAACGCATTCATGAGCGCTTTACGTGCACTTGTCTTATGTAAACCTCGTGATATCCCCACGGTGTGGGTGCTGTGATTTCCATTTTACAGATAGAAAACTGAGGCCCAGAGAAGTTAGGCTAACTTGGTCGGCCCTCTGGACTCCCTCACAGTTTGTGGATCTTGGCCCCAGCTTCTTACTAGTTGAGAATTCTTCTGGGCCATTTATGAGAAAGAGAGGTATCCTGGGGATTTGCTAAGCCAGTGTCTTTCCCAG